CTAGCTATAGGCCGACTGAAGATTTAAAGATATAGAATCCCAAATTCACTAGTATAAACTATATATCTTAACTTCTATACATGTGTATTACTATATATAGAAGAATTTCACTAATTGTTGAATCCTTATCGAATTCTAATTATATTCTTTATAGTATATAGTTTGTCCAATGCTAACCTTTTAAACCAGTTCAAACTCCACAGGGACCCAATGCCAATGGCCCGGAAAACTAATTGAGTGCAAAGTAATTTCGTTTGGAGGCAATTTTTTATGTAAATGTCAGCGGAAAATGGGGAAATTGGGGAAAACTAGCACAAAATCAGAAATGACAAACATTTAATGTGCTTTGATCACCCAGGGAGCTCGAACTAACTTCATAACAGAGTGATCCAAATCAAGGCTAGATAAAGACCAATTTACCTTGGAACATATATCGCATATATACATATATACATCGTGTGCATATCGCTACATATATCACATGTACAGCTTGGCTATCCATCATATTGAACTAAGTAATTGTTCGAGTCATATGCAAGTTGCTTGAAGTAAATTTATCGATTACAGTCGCAGACAAGGGAAAAGTATTTATATCTTATAGAGTGTGTGTGGCTATCTGGGTGTGCGGGTGTGCGTGTGTGTGTGCATGTAATTTAACATTGGTGAAGACATAAGAATGTTGGCTGGCTTCTAATCGCAGTACATACGCCTTGATATTGGTAACGCACGCGCTGCAGGCGCCCACCTCGACGCCTGCTGGACGGACAGACAAAGTGTGTGAGAGAGAGAGAGGGAGAGCGAGTGAGAGACAGACAGACAGACAGACAGTCAGAATGAGTGACTGGCGTCATAGCCCAGCGGTGCTGGCGTCTGGGCCAACTGCCAACCCCGTGTGGTCATTGCCAACTTATTTCCTTGTACTTGAAAGCAATTCATTTTTCTCTTTTTCACTTTGGGTCCGCTTGGTAACAGCAGACGATGCAGACTGGTAGACTAACAGACACCCTCACTTCGGCTATGCACACGGCTTGGCACTGTGAGTAAATTACCAAAGTTATCATCAAATTGCAGTCTTCGGCTATGCTAAATTACGATATTTATCGATTTCCGCTAAATATTGAAAACCAACTAGAAGTTAACATCAAGATTGTCTAGTGTATATACATAGAAAGAGAAGATATCTCTGCCAGTATTCCTAAAAAATTTAATAAAAATCGATACTTATCGATTTCAATAATAGATTTCAATATATCAATAACTGAACTAAGTGCGAATCAAACTGCCTAAATAATATGCATGCAGATGAACGTGATAAAAGCATTTTGTTTGGGAGAATCGATATATATCGATAATAGCAAGTCTCTATAATTAATCAAAAGAAATTCAATTAAGTTTAATACATACAAATCATAATACAGAATCTCTCGCATAGTTAGATAAAATCGATTAATATCGGTACGCTGGTTATCGATAGGTTAAACTAAACTGTACAGTTCGTACAAAGTAGATGATACCCATTATACCCTGTAAGAATAGTGAGTATACAAATTTAATGAAGCAGACCATAGCTAAACAACTTAGCTATCTAATATGGAAAGTCGTTTGCCGACATTGATTACTTATTGATAGATGTTTTTTCGATTTTTCACTCAACGTTTTTTTGTTTTTCTTCTCTGAATAATAGTTTTTGCTGCCTGCTGTACTCGACATCGACATAGACATTGTATTCGATATTCATTCATACGATTAATTTGGGAATTCGAAACGCGAGTCTCGCTTTTTAGGTTGTTGTCGACGCTGCGTTATTCATGCAGTTGGCAAAGGGGCTGCGGCTAGGCCGGGGATTGGGGCTACGGCTGGGGCTGGGGCTGGGCATCCATTCAATGCGATTGTAACAACGAGCAAAAACTGGATACTAGCTGACGAGTCGTCAATGCTATTGACATTGAAATAATCGTAAACACAATCGAATAAGACCTATATATATATATATATAACTACCTCTAAATCATCATATATTGTGTATATAACTATGTATGTATATATGTATGTACACGCCATTTCAGTGGTCAATAGTTGGTTCCATTTGTTGTTCTTCTTCCTTTCTGTTTGTTGTTTTTATTGTAATTACTGCATTGGCTGCGGTTTCTATCCGTTTTCAATCGAGCCACAGCAGGAACGTAACGCCCTTGTGTAAAGAATAATACAGCTATAACAACAACAATGGCAACAAAGGTACAACCAATTTGCATAAGTATAGATCGATTATTCAGCCCATTGTTATCGATTTTGATTTCAATTTTAAATAATTGGTACAAATATTTGGCTTCTAAATTCGTTTTAAAAATATAAACTATAGATTTTATATTCTTATTCGAATATCGTTATCGATCAAGATTGTTATCGATTAAAAAAATATTCATTATTCATAAAGATCGCTCACTTAATTAAATGTTGTTATCGATTATTGAAAAGCGTCAATAATCGATAATAATAGTGTTAAATTTGAATAAAACATAAACTATCGTCTATCGATTATCGATTTATCTTCGATTTGTGATCAATTTCTATATTTTTTAAAGACAATTGAATTAATTTTGTGGATTTCTTTGACTCATTTCAGGTCAACTTTTCCTGTTCTATTTGATCTTTTATATCATCCTTGCCATATTGTTTACCATATGCATGCAGGGCCTGCTGGCCTCTGTGGACAACCACCAGCCCAAATGGCAGCTGGAGGAATCTCTGATTGGCACCAATCCCGGCCTGGGCTTTCGACCACTGAGCGAACAGACCGAACGTGGCTCTGTGATTGAGTACGATAGAAAGAAGACAGCAGAGGGCGAATATTGGATTAGCTTGGTAGATGATTCCTAAAGGGTGAGTGAAAGCTTCCACTTTTGAAATGGTTATGGATATCAATATATTTATTCTTGCTCAACATAGATTATAATCATACTGAGGGTCGTCAGATGAAGCACTGCGATTTCAAGCAGACCCACAATCCGAACGATGTTTGCGTCGTCAATACGGAGAGCTTCGGACCCTGCTCATCGGCGAATGGCTATGGCTATAAATCGGCCGAACCCTGCATCTTTCTGAAGCTGAACAAGATTTTTGGCTGGGTGCCACAGTGCTATGATACGGCCATCAATGGCATGCCCTCTGATCTTGTAAATGTCATCAATAATACGGCTACTGAGGAGGTAAAGCTCTATCTATAAATAAGGTTATACTCGAGAGCTTGCAAAGACTGATTGAATGACTGATCAATTGAAGGACTGATGGAAAGAATTGTTGGATATAATATGATTGAATTGACTGAGGGATTGATAGACAGATTGATTAAACGAATTATAGACAGATTGACAAAGCGATTGAATGAGTGAATCATTGACTGGAACAATGAATCAATGACAGATGGATTCTTTAACTAAATGATTGACAGACTGATCAGCTTAGAGATAAGCTGATGGATAGACTGATTAGCTCGGTACGATGATAATGATAATGATTAGAGATAGAGTGAGAAGAGATTGACTGACTGATAGACATTGATTGATTAGAATAAATAATTGGCCAGCAGACTGATCGAACTGATTGATTGACAAGCAATGTAAAAAAGATTGACAGACCTTTGATAGCTAAAAATACAATCGAAACTCGTCTAAATTTTCACAGCGTCAACAAATCTGGGTCTCATGCCACGGACACTTTGGCAAGGATAAGGAGCATTTCGAGAACATCAGCTATTACCCCAGCCAAGGCTTTCCCATCTACTACTATCCCTATCTGAATCAGCCCGGCTACTTGAGTCCCATTGTTGCTGTGCAATTCAAGGCTCCGCCAAGGGCACAATGTTGGATGTGGAATGTAGGGCATGGGCTAAGAATATCATCTACAGCGGTAGCTTACGCGATCGCATGGGCTCGGTTACCTTCCAGATATTGGTTGACTAAGCCAAGCAGGAGATGAAGAACTTGTGTGATTGCTGTAAAAAAAACTTAGTGAAGAAATTCGAGACCAACTAAAAGAACAACATGAACAGAAAGTTAATTTTTTTTAGCGCGTTCAAATCTTAAATGTATTGTATATATTTATATGAAGAGGAAAGAAAAAAGAAATAATATCAACGTTCGTAAATAACAAAGCAAAATTTAAGTAAAAATATAAAAAAAAAAATATATAAAAAATATAAAAATATATTCACAAAAGTTTAAACCGAACACCCGTAATTGTTGTTAAATATAGCTTCCGGCTTTTCTTTGTTTTTGCTAATAAGTTAATCATTAAATTAATATTTAATTTATAATTGTGTAAATTCATGTGAAACATATATTATTAATTTGTCAGTTGTATTTAGTTTATATTTTCATAGTTGTTATTATTATTGCCTTTCATCGAAATTCTTCATAGAAAATTTTATTTTCTAAATACACAAAAGAAAACATTATAAAACAGTTTTTCCTAATAATTATAAACAAATGTCCGCGCATCCAATTAGATGTATTAAAAAGTATTGCAAAAATATATGTATATATAAATACATATATTATCTAGTGCAATTTTTAGTAATAGCAATGTAAACAATAACAAAGGCAAATTCCAGGCAAATATATTTTTGTTTATAATTTTTAAGCTTTGTTTTTGAGATTTATAGCAATGGAAAATTGTTTAGTAAATTAATTTTTGTTGCATTAATGAATAAATTTAATAAACAAAATAAAATTGTATTTTTGTGGAAACAACAAAAACGAAGCCAAAATATTCCATATTTTCCGAGTTGAGCATTTTTCAATTTTTAAATTGGCGCCAAAAACAAATTTATCACTGTGGCAGCACTGTTGACATGCAGCGAGAGCATATATGCTGTGGCGCTCTCGTTTTGGACAATATATCGAACAAATAAAATTAATCGATATATCTTCGATACACAATATATATATAATACTGGTACTGCTAACTTGTCTCAGAACAGCTGTGTGCACATCACAATTGTGCTGACAGTTTGTCGATATATCGAACAAAAAAAATTCATCGGAATTTCTTGTTCAGCTTTTAGCTGTTTACCCTAAGAAAATTGCAATAAAATTGATCAAATCTTATTGAAACGACAAGTGAAGGTTGTGCAGGTTACATTCGTAGCTGTTAAAAGATGGCACAAACGATAGATGTGGCGTGCGTCAAGGAGGAGCACTGCGAGGCCATTTGCAATATGTTCAAGAATCAGGATTGGCAATTGACGATGCGACACAGAGATTTGGGCCTGGTCAAGATCGAGCAGGACATGAGCTTTGTGTGGCAAAGCAGCGCCAATGCCAACATGGATGGCAAACAACGGCAAGCAGCAGAGAAGCAAACACTCAAAAAGTGCGACAATTTTGTAACGAAGTTAATTTGATCTTGTCAATAATTTGTATACCCTAAATAGATTTCAGAATGGCAGCGATAAGCCCTTTAAGTGCGCCCACTGTCCCAAGGATTTTGCAACCAGCAGCAATCTTAAGGTGCATCTCACGCGCACACACTCCGGAGATCGCGAGCGGCCCTTTCTCTGTCCCACCTGTCCAAAGTCCTTTGCGACCAATGATAATCTGCAGAAGCACATACGCAGGCATTCAAGCGAAAGGACACTCAATTGCCCACACTGCCCAAAGCTGTTTGCCACCAAAGATAATCTGCAGAAGCACATACGCCGACACTCCAGCGAAAGGACACTCATTTGCCCGCATTGTCCAAAGGCGTTTGCCACCAACGACAATTTGCAGAAGCACATACGTCGCCATTCGAGTGAACGGACACTCAACTGTCCACACTGCCCGAAGGCGTTTGCAACGAACGACAATCTGCAGCGACATATACGCGGACACACGGGCGAGCGACCCTTCAAGTGTCCCTATTGCCCGAAACCCTTTGCCCAAAATCGAGATCTCAAAGCGCACATTTTGGAGCACACGGGCGAGAAGCCCTACAAGTGCCCACACTGCCCCAAGGCGTGCGTACGCAGCGAGGGCTTGAAGAAGCATATACTGCGGCTGCACAAAGACATCGAACCGGAGACGACGCAGACAACAGCCAAACAGTGCGTGGATCGTAGATATATAATATATCAAATGAAATAACTCCATGTCTATATATATAAATATATCTTCATAGTTGGCAAACGGACAAGACTTTTGCTGCGGACGCGAGTGGACGCGTTTTCATGTACAAATACGATCTGACTAAGCAAACGCGCATGCCCACAGGCGAGGCGTAAAAGCCCAATCGAATCTTGCCCCACAAATCGGAGCTACAACTATTTGAACCGAGAACTATTGCCAGGAGCAAACGAAAAACCTCAACGCCAGCATAGAAAATGGGAGAAACCAGAGCGCAAACTTGGCAAAACTAATATAAAAACTAAACATTAACTATGTAGCTTTTATAGCCAGCGAGATCTAAGGCGAAGAACAATTATTGAAGACATAATTTGATATGAATTCATTTTGTGTATATATATAATGTATATGTAGTATATATATATATATATTTACTTTAACTATATTATGGGCTCATGCAATAGTTTCCTTCTTTTATTTGGCAAAAATAAAATGCATTTATATGCTAAACATTGTGGAAAATTTATGTTATATTATTGTAGCGCATGAGTTGAACTTTATTTTAAGCAAACACTTTTGGTGAACGAATCAAGTTAACTGCAAGCTAACTCCTGGCTCAAATCTCTATTAATAATTATTTTTTAAAAATGTTAAACTAGAAATTAATTTTGTTTCATTAGAGTAAGAACAACTGCATAATACTTAAACAAAAACAAAAAAACAACTTAATGTTTTTCTATTTGATGTGGAGATAAAAGATTTCCACATTGTCACGATCATCTGAAGAAGTGGGTCAAAACTATACCAATAATGACTCTTGATAAATGTAGCTCTGGGGTCTATAAATGACACAGCTGCTTCTGATTCAAATACCACAAATTGTTCTACTTATGAAATTTGGGAACACACACTCTATTCGTGATTTCAGCCCGGTGCACATGCAGCCTGGAAAACAGTCTATCTCTCAGATTCTTCATTATTTTTCCCCTCTATTTGGTTCAGAATGACAGCGAAAGAGCTTCGGCGAGAGAATCCCTCTATCCCAGGAATATATTAAGATAAGTAAAAATTGGTGAAATTATTAAACTTTATTAGTAGGTTTTATTAAATGGGAATTATTGTACCTATATTACAGATATTACAGAATATTTCTTTAGTTCATTATTTGTTGTCTCTTGTGAATTTTGGATTATTATTTGTTATTCTTTATCTTTTATTTTATTTTGCAAAACTTAGTTTTCTTTATCGTTTGATATAGTATAAAGTAATCACAAAATATTATTATCACAATTTGCGGATATAAATATTGTATTCTTTTCATATTTGCTAATTTAGTTTTCATATTTTATGTATACATATATTATATATGCTATTCATTCAATTTCCAATAGTTCAACAATGCGAGTAAAAATGTTTAACTACTTCAAGATTAGTTTTAGTTTAAGTCAAAAATTTAAATTTAGTTGAGACGAAATTTGAAACGTTTTTTTATAGTTTATAGTCGAAAAATAAGTGCTGGTAGGGTATTAAACAAGTTGGGATTTCGTTTTGGGTTAGGCAAACACTTGTTAAGTATGTTGAGCGCCCCACAGTTCCGTCTCATGATACATTCGGTAAATATTGTCCCTGATTAGCTTGGTTTTGTCTGAAATATCGATATGGTATGTTATTTGTTGGGATTCATATCCGTATAACACACTCACCCTTCGATAGGTTGAGCGCAACAACATGTTTCTTCAAAAAGTCCATGCAGACATCCTGACTGGTGCCCAGGCTGTGCATGTTACACGTAAAGGCACTGAAAGAGTGAAAGAATTTAGTTCAAAAGTCCCTGGTTCTATGAGCGCAGGCTGAGCTAACAAATATCGCACCTCAATTGCCGAAATGCAATATCCTCTTGCTCCTTGGCGGATTGGGGCTGGTCCAAGCTGCATTTGCTGGACTTGCGTTTGACTGCCGCAGCCGGCGCTACCTGATGCGAGGAGCTGGAGGAGGAATCAGCTCCATGTTTGCGAGCAGGCGTAACTGCTGTAGCCGTTGTCGTTGTCGTTGCCGCAACCGCAGCATCCACAACAACTGTGGCATCTTCTGCTTCTTGACGCTGCTGCTGTTTGGCCTGCTTGCGTTGCTGCCGGCGCAACTGCACGCTAAGCCGATGTTCACGCTCGGCCTGCATGGAATCGTGGAATATGGCGTTCCAGAAACGTGGTTGCTGCCAAAGTGGCTGCTGGCGCAGCGATATGAAAAAATACTCGCGATAAGGATCGCAGCCAGGAACTTCAACTGCACAAAACAAAGAAAGAGAGCATTAGAGTTGCCTGATATCGAAGTTGCAAATATACCTTCATGATAGAACAAGAAACAGAGATTCATAAGCACGGCTGCTGGCGCATAATCCTCGCATTCGCCGCATTCGAACAACGCCAAAGCGAAATATTGAGCAAGTGCATTGAATGTCAACGTTTCCATTCGTTTCGATTTGTTGCGCTGCTCGCTAAGAAACCGAGTGAACCACAGCCTGCCCATCTCCAAGCGCAGGAGCACGCCAAACTCTGACTTCAGTTCCAGATTAACAGCTGCCGAGTTATTGAAGAGCAACTGAGTGAAATGCTTCATGAACTCCTTGACAGGCTCCTCGCCAGCACGACAATCCAAACTTATAGAGGAGGCCCATGATGGAACAGAGTTCTGCGATTCGGACCGTATGAAGTTGCGCCAATCGCTGGACTCCATGCTCGGACTGGCCTGCAGCTGATCGGGCTCATCTCGCAGACTGGTTAATGTGCTGCTGTTCGAGGTGCGGCTGCGTGCAGGCAAACGAATGGAGCTGACCTCGCCCCAGGGTTGGCGTGCGATTAGGCCTGCGCCTCCGCCTGTGCCGCATTCCGTGGGCGGCTGCACATCGATTTGTGGAGTCGCGGCCGTGGCAGTAGCCTCTAACAGCTCACTTATACGCTGCATATCCTTTTGCATGTCCAGCTCGCTGCGACGAGCGCCCGCTATGGGTCGATGGCGTTCATAGCCACCCGAGTGACGAGACTCAAATTCAAGGGAATTCGAATGCGTCGTGCTGCTCACCTCATGTGAACGCGCAGCCGTTTGCTCTGGTAGCGAAACGGAGCTGCTGTCATCGCTGCTGCTGCCGCTGCTCGAAGAAGAAGGAGAACTGGAGCGCTGTTTGTTGTTGGCATGTCGTGAGCGAGAGTACTCCAAGCGAGGCCCTACAAATGATGTATACAAATTATACTTTGTTTCTTAAACAATATTATTACAGTTAGACTTGGCTTACGCGGCGCCGAATTCGGCTGTCTGTATCGGCTCGAGATGATTTCCTCATGCGCACGACGCGCTTTAACGCGACGTCCCTCGAAATCGATCTTCGTATAATCAATTGTCTCATCAACTGTAAAATTGATTAGAAAACTTGTTAAGAATTTTCGACTTACACTTTTCGAACATTTGCTAAACTTACATTTGGGCAAGTCCTCTTCATCATCGCAATAGTCTGAATCGCTGCTGCTGCTGCTCAAAGTTAACTGTAAATGGGGAAAATGGCCGCATTTAGTAAATAAAGTTGCCACCCTATAAGAAATTTGTTATTGCCAATTGATAATAAAAATCAAGGTAATAAAAAAATATACATAATTAAAATATAGCTAGTACTTAACTAAAATAATAAACAAATTATAAGTACAAATTTTAGGCCACCAATTTTCTCTTTTTTTCATTTAGGTTGCAAGTGCCCAGCCCTGCGCTCCCCCTTGCTTAACGCTTATTGGTTGTAAACAATACAAACAATTACCGAAATGCGTTAAATTACAGAGACAACACTTACACAAGTGAGAAGTGCACAAATACAAAAAGCAATCAATCAGACTTAGACAGCGTTTTAAACAAAAGTAAAATGTATGCAGTTATCCCTTTGGCCTTGGATGAGCGAATGTAGTTGGCAAGTCTCAAGGAAGTCGACTAAATTGATTGCTTTTGGCACTTGCCGCTGCAGCACCAGCAACAAGGTATGTGTGGTGTGAAAGAGATAGAGATACATAGCAAACGACCGAGCGACATAATCCGTAATTAACAGCTCAGCAACGAAAAGGAGATAGCAACAACTGTGCCATTTACTTTTAACTCGTTTATGCTGAAGCGTCGAGCACGCAATTTAATTAATTTCAAAGCGACAGAGCAGCCAATGCTGCGCAGCGCTGTCAGTATAGAGTCAAGTACACTGAAAACAGCTGAGGCCAACCCCCAACTGCAGCTGGTACTGCTGCTACTCGCAGCAGCACAGCAGCTACCCCAACAATAATATCCGGGCCAAGTGAAGGTCAAACGAATGCAGCAGCAAAAACAAAAACCTATCAAAATGTCTGTTGATATTGTTTTTGTTTTGATTTTTTTTTTGTGTATAGCTGCCACCCACATAGACAGCATGGGAGCGCTTTCATTATCAAGGCCTTACCTTATTTGAAATGCCATTGAGCAGCTCGTTGCTGTTGCCCAACACTGTCAAAAATTTAGACTTCAGTGCCCCGATGCTCGGCGTCCGTTCCATAAATAATTTAATTTTCGATCTTTCACCGGCAAATGCAGCCGGCGGTGTGCCCGTGTGGGCGTGCGAGTGGGCGGTGGCTTAGCATCGACCATTGTTGTCACGTTTAGCTAGTTGTTCTCTCTAATAGTTGTTGTTCTTGTTGTTATTTAGTCTATTTTTAGCCGTCATTTAAAAAGCGTTTTGCGTCTCGTTTGACGCTGACCGCTGACGTTGACGTCGACTGCGACGGCGACTGAGACTGCGACTGCGGCTTCAAGTATCGATTTTTCGTATATAGCACAAAGCAATTCGTCTCGACATAGCCCTAAGCAGCAGCTCTTCTTCGTCTTCATCTTCTGCTTCAGCTTTGCTGTGTTTTGTCAAGTTTTTTTTTTTAATCTTGCTGCGACAGGAAATAATCTTTGCAGTTGGTTTTAGTTACATCTCTGCAGCTGTTGGGCATTTAAAGATTTTTTAAAAATTAAATGCTTTATCTCCTTTGTCATGTATTGCAAGTTTTCTCTTTTCTTTAATTGCAGATTTATTTTGTATATTTTATATTTATTTTGTATATATACGCAGATAATTAACTTTATTATTACTTTTATTATTATTATTTTAAATTATTTCCAGTTATTTTCCTGATTTATGTATTTCTTAAAGCTTTTCAATTTTATTTTAAATATATTAAAATTATTTTTATCCTATTTACTATAAATTTTACTATTTTGAATATATTATTAATTATATATTTCATTAAGTTTAATTTTCAAATTCTTACCTTTTTTAATTTTTTATTTAATTATTTTATTTTTTTTAGAAAT